ATATCTTGGCTATTGTAAATAAAGCTGCAGTGAACATGGGGGCACATATATCTTTTCAAATTAGTGATTTCGTTTTCTTGGGAAAACTGGAATTGCTGGATCATACAGTAGTTCTATTTTTTTTGGGGGGGGTGCTCCGGGTCTTCATTGCTGCGTGCAGGCTTTCTCTAGTTGTGGTGAGCGGGGGCTACTCTTTGCTGCAGTCCGTGGGCTTCTTATTGCGGTGGCTTCTTTTGTTGCAGAGCATGGGCTCTAGGTGCAGAGGCTTCAGTAGTTGCAGCAGGTGGGCTTCAGTAGTTGTGGCATGTGGGCTCAGTAGTTGCAGCGCGCATGCTCTAGGGCACACAGGCTTCAGTAGCTGTGGCGTGCAGGCTTAGTTGCTCTGTGGCATGTGGGATCTTCCTGGACCAGGGATCGAACTCATGTCCCCTGCATTGGCAGGCAGATTCTTAACCACTTCACCACCAGGGAAGTCCTGGTAGTTCTATTTTTAATATTTTGAGGAATCTCCATAGTGGCTGCACCAGTTTACATTCCCACCAACAGTGCACAAGTGTTCTCTTTTCTCCATATCCTTTCTACCACTTGTTATTTCTTGTCTTTTTGATAATAGCCATTATAACAGTTGTGGTTTTGATTTGCATTTCCCTGATAATTAGTGATGTTGTACATCTTTTCATGTGCCTGTTGGCCATCTGTCTGTTTTCTTTGGAAGAATGTCTATTTATTATAGATTCTCCAAGTCAAGGACTCCCCCCAACCCCCCCAGAAAACTGGCTTACCAGCATACCATTGTTTCATTCTTCCCTCCCCTCCAAAATATCACCAAATTCTGCAAAGAGGAAATAATGATTCCTCTATGAGCATTAAATTGTTTTGATATTGAACCAAAGCTAGGTAATCAATAAATATTCATTTTGTAGGGTGGCTACTAGGCATGATCCCATTTAATTCCTTTACAGGTAGATGTTATTATCCTCAATGAGAATTACATTTTTGAAAATACCTGAGAACAAACTACTGATGCTCAAAACATTACATGAATTTCGCAGCTATTATATTGAGTGGAAGAAGCCGGACACAAAATAATACATACTGTATTATTTCATCTATATGAAATTTAAGAACTGATACAAGTTCAAGAACTGATGGAAGATTATAGAAGCCAGAAGAATGCTTATCTCCAGTGGGGAGGAGAGTGGTGACTGAGAAGGGGTGTGAAGGAAACATTTGAGTGCTGGAGTGTTTCTCTATTGTGATCCAGATAGGGGTTACACAGATGCATAAAGACGCAAAGATTCATCACAATATACACTTAAGATGATTGCACTTTATCATAAAAGTAATTTTTACTTCAATAAAAAATTTAGTAAAAGGTATGTTATACTAAAACGTAAAAGAAGAATCTGAGAAAGTATGTTTTATAAACTGGTAAGCACTTCAAAGTCTCTTTTACCTTAAAAATTTGAGATGCCTTTGACAACCTCCCTTCTCCTAGTTTCTCCCTCTCTGTGGCCATTCAGTCTCTCTAAGGTTCGGTTGGCTTTTCTCTGCCTGTCTTGTAAGCATTGTGCCCCCAGAGTTCTGTCCTTATAACTCTCCTCACTTTATGTACTATTGACAATCTCTGTAGCTCCAACTCCTGACACAATTTCCTAACCTCCAGGTCACACTCTTTTCTCCTCTGTACCCATACTCATTCATTGAACAACTACATACTGGGTTGTCTTTACTGGGTGTCTTATGCCAAGTACTGTTCTTGGCACTAGGCCATGTCAGTCAACGAAACAGAGATCTTTGCCTTCATGGAGCTTATGTGCCCAGGTCGCTCTCCCTGGGCCTACCAAGACTCAGATGTCCCAAATGATCTCATTATCTTCATCCCTTGATTCTCCCTAACCTCAAACTTGTTTTTCCCATGCATCTTCCATCTCTGTGATTGCACTGTCATCCTCTCAGAAACTCGGAATCATCCCTGACCCCGCTTCAACAAATCACCATCGGCTGACTATTACATGTCCTGAATATCTCTCAGAACCCTCCACTTGTCTGTATTTGCACTGCCCTGCCCCATTCTCATTCTTTCCCATTTGACTTACTAACTGGTCTCTCTGCCTCCAGTCTTCTTCCTGCCTATCACTCTCCATACAGCCGCTAGAATGATTATAAAATGCAAATCAGGACAAGTTGCTTTCTGCCTAAACCTGTCCAGTAAAAGTCTAAATTCCTTACCTTGTTCTCATATTCTCAGCTGTCAGGATATAAGCATAGCTGCTGAAACCTGGGTTCACATCCCTGCTTACCAGCATAAACTTGGGCAAAATTGTTTTAGCCTTTAGCCTTACTTCCCCATCTATAAAATGGGAATGATAATAGTACTGACGTCGAGTTGTTATGGGGATTAAATTTATTATTGCACACAAGGCACTAAGAACAGTGCCTGGTCCTCAGTATATACTCAAGAGGCCTGGTTTTCTTTTAGACGGTGCTGTAATGTTTAAATAAGTTAAAACATCTAAGAGGCTTTGCACAGCACCCAGCCTGTCTTAAATACTCTGTAATGTCAATGTTGTTGCCTCTCTAGCCTTACTTCTTGCCCTTCTTCCACACAAACCTGACTCAGCCCTATGGGGCTGGCTATGGTTCTCTTTCTTACACGTCCCTTGGTTCCTCCCTTTCCTGTCTTTTTCCTGGATGTCTCCCACCGATCCTTCAAGTCTCTGCTCAGGCACCAGCCCCTGGCTGCCTCAGCCCAAGCTGGATTGGTGGCTCCTCCTCTGTCTCTCCGTCTTAGAACCTGTGCTTGCCTCTATTACAGAACGTAGTAATTGTTTATTTAAAACATACTAAGAAGCATCCATCAACAGATGAATGGATAAGCAAAATGTGGTATATACATACAATGGGATATTATTCCACCTTAAGAAGGAATGAAGTACATCATGGATGAACCTCGAAAACATTGTGCTAGGTAAAATAAGCCAGGATTTAGAGCCAAGATTAGAACAGTTAGGCTAAATTGCTCTAAATCCTGTCTTCACCAGGCTGTGTGACCTGGTGTAAGGTATACAGCTTCTCTATGTTTTCGTTTCTTCATCTGTAAAAATAGGTAAATTTCTTTTATAAAGTTGTTTGAAGTAATGTGTGTAGAATACTTGACATATAACCTGGATAATGGTAAGCACTCAATAAGTGTTTTCCCTTATTATTTTTCAGTTGTGATCTCTTTGGGCACAGGCTCTATAATCTCTGTCACAGTTCCTTGATATGGTTTCAGATTCCACATTGCAACCAACCTTGAAGAACATATTGCAACAAATTAAATGTAGAAGCAGATATAATCATCCAGTTGTGTTCCATTGATCTAGATAGTAAAAAGATTTTTTAAAAAATGCTACTCTTCTTGCTAGATTTTTTTTGTTTGAGTAAATATAGTTATTTTCTGTAAAACCTTTTCTTTATGTTAATGTAGAAAGGAATTACTAATGTTATTTTAAAATAAATTAGTATTTTAAATTTTCTCAGTTTTAATTTCTAATATGGTAAATGTTGATAGATAGAACCTATATAAACAATGTTCCTTGGATCCTCAGTAATTCTTAAGAGTGTAAAGGAGTCCAGAGACCAAAAAGATTGAAAACCACTGTCCTGCCTTGCAGTTGGATCCCTGCCACACCACCCAGGACAACTGGCCTCCAGTCTGTGCTTTAGCACTTCACAGGATGGGGAGGTCATCACCTCCTGGAGCAGCTGGTTTTATCTTTGGGCTACTCTGCCTCTTAGAAGGTTCTTGCAATGAGTCAAAAATCTTTGTTTTGGAGGCTCCCGCTGACAGTTCTTAGACCCATCCCTTATTTTCACACATTGCAATTTGGAACCCTCTTTCAGGTCTGGAAGACAGTCATCAATTCCCCTTTGTGGTGGTCCCAGAGGGAATCACCCTGTCCTTCGTGTGACTAAAGTGCATATGTATTTTTCTGAGTCAGCCAGTGATTTGTAGGAAGCATTGCCAAGCTAGATAGCTCACAACTGCTTTTCCAGGAACCAGAAGATTATCTCCAGTCCCACACTGAATTTGAGAAACTCATTTTGTTGTTGTTTTTACCAATAAATTAAAAATTTCCATTATAAATCACATATGTTTCTTAAGGAAAATAAAGTAGGGAAAAAGAGACTTAAAAATGGAAATGGGGTCATGATTAGTGCTGACTTTCTTGTCTTGGCATCTGGCTCCCTTTCAGGCTTGCCCTGAATGCCATTTTTTTCAGCAATTCCTAAAGCAGTTATATGTACTATACCTCCAGAGGTCTGCCAGGTTGACAGGCTGCCTGCTGCCTGGTCAGTCCCCAGCCCTTTAAGGACAGCTGAGGAGGGGCACTCAGAGGAAACAGGAAGCTCTCAAGGAACGTGATTCTTGTACTACCTGAAGGTATTTTAGGCCAGATCTCTCCAGGCAAGGTGGGGTCAGAGGGGATAGACGCTTTACTACAACAGAGATTAGTAAATTTTTTCTGCATTTTTGGGAGGTAAAAAATGAAGTTCTTATGGAAATTCTACTTCTGGGAATCTATTCTAAGGAAATGATGAGAGATTTAAATGGTGTTATGTGTCTATCATTATTCATAAAACTTGGAAACAAGCTAAATATTCTACAATAAACGTTCAGTTTAAAAACTATCTATAAGGGAATAGGGGGTATATGGGAAATCTCTGTACTTTTCCCTCAGTTTTGCTGTGAACCTAAAACTGCTCTAAAAAAATGAAAATCTTAAAAAAGAAACCTGTCTATGTGCTTGTATATTCTGTGCTGGTTAATAATAAATTACATTTACAAAATCTTTTTAATGATGTGGGCAAATTCTCAACATAGAGTGTTAGTTGCTTAATATATGACTAGTATACAGTTTTTATATAAATATTTGTTGACTGAAAATTGAAAAAAGCAGATAAGAAACTATACATACAGTACAGTCTTGATTGTATAAATATTTTTGTTACAGGGTGAAAAAAATGGATGACACCAATGTATCTCACATGGAGGAAACTGTCTTTATGAAAACTCTTTGAAATGCCCTGCAGACACAGATGTCAGCAGATGCCCAGCTCAGACAAGGGGAAGCTGTTTTGCATGAAACAAAGAGAGGAACATGGTTTATTGCTTGTGAAAAGGAGGGGGAAGAAAGAAGGTATTGGTCAACACTCTTGCAATTGCAAATGACAGAAATTTAACTCAATGTGGCTTAAGGGAAAACCCAGATATCTAGTTAGACATGGTTGGATTCAGGAAGTCAAACTTTGTCATCCATATCTGCGTTTTCTCTCCATCTCTTGATTTTGTTTTCCTTTGTCTTGATTCACTCTCAAGCAGACTCTTCACTTGTGCTGGCAAAGATGGGCACTAGCAATGCTAGGCTGACCTTTCTACCAGCTCAGTGACCCCAGGGGTAAGAGTCCTTCACTCACCAAGAGTTCTCTCAAGTCTATCCCTGAGTAGCAGTCTGGCCGGGGAGATGGAATGTACAGATTATCTGGGTTTCGTCACTAGTTTGGATCACTGGAATAGGCTGGGGTCAGCCCTGCTCAAGTCATTTTGAAGTTCCAAAAATAATTTGCAGCGTTCCTGGCATGGAGTTTCTAGAACCCTTGGAATTTCCTGAGTGACTAAAGTGTCTTTATTATTCATGAGTCCCTTGGATCACTCCTGAGTTTATGCTAATGAGGGCACTCATGGTGGGACCCTGCATAGCTTCAAGATTGAGACTGGTCACCAGAAAGACCAACCACTGATTAGAAGGTTGGGACTTTGAGCCAGCCAAACCTCCAGGGAGGGGAGAAGGATTGAGTTCAAGTGCATGGTCCATGATTTAATCAATGAAACTCCAATAAACCTTTGGACAGCAAAGCTCAGTGGAAGTTCCTTGTTGGTGAACTCATGTTGGGAAGATGAGGTGCCCTCATCCCATGGGGAGAGGGCACAGAAGCTCTGTGTTCAGGACCTTCCTGACCTTGCCCTATGTGTCTCTTCATTTGGCTGGTCTGATTTGTATCCTTCAAAACTCTAATTGTAAGTATAGTGCTATCCTCAGTTTTGTGTCGTTCTGCTGAATTATAGAACCTGAGCGGGGTTGGAGGAACCCTCTGGATTTGTAGCCAGTTGGTTGGGAGTATGGGTGGCCTGGGCCCCTACTTGCTCCTGGTGTCTGGAGTGGGGGCAGTCTTGTTGGAGACTGTGCCCTTACAGCTGTGGAGTCTGACAATAACTCTGGTTGCTTAGTGTCAGAATTGAAATTGCAGCACAACAGATGACGTCAGAATAGTTGGGGTTGAAACAGAATAGGATTGAGTCTGGATCCATGCACTGCAGAACAGTGGAAGAGGTGTGGAGCCAGGAGCCTAGAGGCCAGGTGGTTATGATAACAGAAGATCACTGGGAAGAAACTGAAATCTTGAAGAGGGCTTTGGATTTTCACAGGATAGGGAGTTGGAGAGAAGAGGAGTTTAAGCCAATTTTATCTCAACCTTTCAGCAGAGGAGGGTCCCCAACTGAACTGAGTTACATACATTCATCTTTGCTATAAGAATCTGTGTTCACAGGTTTTCACTTTTATGAAGTGATTACAATTAGTTTTTCCAAGTGAACAAAGTTCTTTCACTCACTTATGGTCAGACTCACTTATCTTACACATGTGCATTCAAAGACCTTCCAGTCACTCTCAGAGCCAGGTGTAGAAGCAGAGAATGGAAGTGCTGGCTGATGCAGGATAGTGGATTTGCAAGGCGAGTGCAAGAAAAAGTCAAGAGGGCAAGATACATCAACGAGGATGGGTCTGTTCTGTCTGTAAAAGCCCCAAATGCCAGAAAGTTCAGTGGGGTGTGTGTGTGTGTGTGTGTGGTGGCAGCACATATCAACTCAATGTTTCAGGGAGCAGTATGAACTCAGGACCATATCAGCTCACATAAATTAACATTCCCACTTCTGGCTGGTTTGATGAATACTCCTGATTCATAAGTCAATGTGTGAGTTTCCCCATAGAGCAGGCCCTCCACAAAAACATGTAAAATACCTTATTGTATTTTCCTCACAAATAATCACTGAGAATGGTTGAGTCTTATTCCCTTTGTCTTTTGTCTTTAAACCAGGGTTAATAATAAAATAAACTTTAGGTTTTTTTTGTTTTTTTTAATTTATTTTATTTTTGGCTGCGTTGGACCTTCCTTGCTGCACACAGGCTTTCTCTAGTTGTGGTGAGTGGGACTACTCTTCACTGCGGTGTGTGGGCTTCTCATTGCGGTGGCTCCTCTTGTGGAGCACGGGCTCTAGGTGCGTGGGCTTCAGTAGTTGTGGCTCGCGGGTTCTAGAGCACAGTAGCTGTGCACGGGCTTAGTTGCTCCGTGGCATGTGGGATCTTCCCAGACCAGGGCTCGAACCCGTGTCCCCTGCATTGGCAGGCAGATTCTTAACCACTGTACCACCAGGGAAGCCCTAGTTTAGTTTTAATAAGCCATTGTCACAATCAGGATTATAAACATATCCGTCACCCCCAGAGTTTTTGGTGCCCTTTGTGATCTCCCTCCCACTCTTTCTCCCAAACCCAGACAACAACTGATCTCCTTTCTGTCACTATAGATTTGTTCACATTTTCTAGAATATTTTAGCAATGGAATCATATACTATATGTTCTTTTTTTATGTGGCTTCTTTCACTCAGCATAATTTGTTGAGATTCATAACTTGTTCATTCTTTTTTATTGCTGGGTAGTATTCCATTGTATGACTATACCTCAATTTGTTTATCCATTCACTTGTTGATGAACATTGGTACAATTGCATAAGTTCTGATATACATATACACACGTGGAGCCATTGCTCCAACCAAGATACCCATCACCACCAAAAGTTTATCTCCAGTGTTTGGCTATTACAAATAAAACTACTATGAATATTCATGTAAGAGAACTTCTATGGATATAGCTTTCATATGTTTTCTCTTTAGTAAGTATCTAAGATTAGAATTATTACATCATTTGGTAGGTATACCTTTAACTTTTTAAGACACTTCCAAACTGTTTTTTAAGAAACTGTTTTCTAACCTAGTATACATCACCACTCTTCTAAATTCTCACCAACACATGGTTTGGTAAGTCTTTTTAATATTTTACATTCTAAAAAGTATATAGTGGTATTTTATCATGGTTTTAACTTGCATTTCCATAATGGCTAATGATATTGAGCAACTTTTCATATGTTGTTAAGAGTTTTATGCATTTTCTTCCTTTCTTTTTCCTGTTCTTTATATGTATATATTAACCCTTTACTATATGGGGAAAAATGCTTCCCCAAATTTTTGCTCATTACTGAAATTTCATATTGATGGCTAATAATTTCTATTATAATTAATGTAATAACTATGGTGTTTTCTAATGGAAAAGTAGGTCTAAGCTTGATATTATAATAATATTGATAGTGAACTCCAACCTTTAGATGACTCTAAATTTTGTCATTTTATGAATAAAAGGTGAAAAGTTCTGAAGCAACTGAGAATTTAGCAGCAGTTGCAGTATTGATGTTAGCCATTTTCTTATTTTTTGGAAGCTCTGAAAATCAGTGTGATCTTACTCTGCAATGAGTTTGGGAACTGCTTTGCCCAAAATCAGAGTGATTTTTGTAAAAGCTACAACATTTATTTCAGCTCAACATGGTGGCCTCTGAGAATACATCTAGCAGAGAACATCAACTAATGCAATCTTACTATATTTTCAGAGACCTCTGAATGTTCATCTTTAAATGGAATATTCTCTTTGTATTAGGGGACTTGCATAAGTTGCATTTATAGACACCCTGGGCATAAATTCAGTGTGTAAAATCTGGCTCAATCTTCCCATTCCAGATGAGGAAACTGGGGCCCTGGGAAGTAGAGATTTGTCCAAGGGAACCTGGTGAGATAGTGGCAGTGAGCACCGTTTAGGTAAGGTGGGCAATGCTCTCTATCCTGTCTCTTCTCTGAGTGAGATCAACAGTGAGTAAATTATAAGACCATAGAAAGTGAGTGCTGAAAGGAGAATTAGAGACCACTCAGTCTACTCCTCTTATTGTAAAGTGAGAAAACTGAGGCCTGTGGCAGGGGAGCAGCATGTCCAAGGCCATGCATAGAAAGTTTATCACATAATTGAGACTGAAAGTTGGGTCTCCTGATGCTTAGTTTTCGGGATGGCTGAGCAGGTCTGCTGCCTCTCCAGTGAATGAAGGGCCAGAGTCCGGGACTTCGCACAAAACTTTGATGGGATTTGGAAGATTTCCTTGTGGAGGTGACAAGCACTCGAGTTGTCTTTATAGCCCCAGTAATAAGATGATGGCATCATCCATATTCCCTCTACCAATGGCTCTTCCATGGCAACGTAGCTGAGACTGAGGCTAAAGGGCCAAAAAGGTAAGGATGCTTTCCTTAGCAGATGAAAAGTCATGCATGTGTCTCTTTCCGTGCATCATTCATTTGGCTGCCCATTTTTCCATCCCTTCATCCATCCACACACCATTCAACAAAACCTACTCTGGCCATTATCCTTGCCATTGAGGAGCTCCCTGACTCTTGGGAAAGGCAGACATGTAAACAATGAATTAAGATACAAAATGTAATAAAGAAATAACTAAAGGGACTTCCCTGGTGGCGCAGTGGTTAAGAATCCGCTTGCCAATGCAGGGGACATGAGTTCGAGCCCCGGCCCGGGAAGATCCCACATGCCATGGAGCAACTAAGCCCGTGCGCCACAACTACTGAGCCTGCGTTCTAGAGCCCACAAGCCACAACTACTGAGCCCGTGTGCCACAACTACTGAAGCTCACGAGACTAGAGCCCGTGCTCTGCAACAAGAGAAGCCACCACAATGAGAAGCCTGCACATGGCAACCAAGAGTAGCCCCCGCTCACTGCAACTAGAGAAGGCCTGTGCGCAATGAAGACCCAACGCAGACAAAAATAAATAAATAAATTAAAAAGAAAAAAAAAGAAAGAACTAAAGATTCATTGGAAAACCTAAGAGGTAGTACCTAATCCATCTAGGGTAGAAGAAAGAAGAGAGGGCAAGAAAAGTCTTCCCAGAGGTGTTAGCATGTGTTAAGTCTAGAAAGATGAGCAGGAAATATTCAGATGAAGAACAGAAAGGAGGAAATGCACTCCAGGATGACGGAACAGCCTAAGCAAAGATACCTCTAAAATTCTATGAATAATATCACCATTTATTTTAAAAGTATGTGTGTTTGGGCTTCCCTGGTGGCGCAGTGGTTGAGAGTCCGCCTGCCGATGCAGGGGACACGGGTTCGTGCCCCGGTCCGGGAAGATCCCACACGCTGCGGAGTGGCTAGGCCCGTGAGCCATGGCTGCTGAGCCTGTGCATCCGGAGCCTGTGCTCCGCAACGGGAGAGGCCACAACAGTGAGAGGCCCACTTACCGAAAAAAAAAAAAAAAAAAAAGTATATGTCTTTACATGTATATGATATAAAAGGGGTTATACACTAAAATGTTAATAATAGCTATTTATGGTGGGATTATAGGTGACCTTATAGAATTTCATTTTTAATTTTCATCCATTTTTAAAAAAAATAAATTTATTTATTTTATTTATTTATTTTTGGCTGCACTGGGTCTTCATTGCTGCTCGCGGGCTTTCTCTAGTTGCAGCAAGTGGGGGCTACTCTTCGTTGTGGTGCGCAGGCTTCTCATTGCGGTGGCTTCTCTTGTTGCAGAGCACGGGCTCTAGGCACGCGGGCTTCCGTAGTTGTGGCACGTGGCCTCAGTAGTTGTAGCTCGCAGGCTCCAGAGCGCAGGCTCAGCAGCTGTGGCGCACGGGCCCGGCTGCTCTGTGGCATGTGGGATCTTCCCAGACCAGGGCTCGAACCCCCGTCCCCTGTATTGGCAGGCGGGCTCTCAACCACTGTGCCACCATGGAAGCCCTTCATCCATTTTTATTATTTTTTTTTTCAGTAGTGAATGCGTGTCACTTGTGAAATAAAATAATAATAAAAGTTTAAAAAACTTTAAAACCTTTTTCAGAGGAGCTGTTCTTCCTTTGTTATTGAAAGTTCCATATGTGGAACATAGAAAAGTGGTACAGATGAACCTGTTTGCAAGGTAGAAACAGAGACACAGACGTAGAGAACAAACATATGGACACCAAGGGAGGAATGAGGAGGTGAGATGAATTGAGAGATTAGGATTGGCATACATACAATAATATGTATAAAATAGATAACTAATGAGAACCTGCTGTATAACACAGGGAACTCTACTCAATGCTCTGTGGTGACCTAAATGGGAAGGAAATCCAAAAAAGAGTGGATATATATATACATATAACTGATTCACTTCACTGTACAGCAGAAAGTAACACACCACTGCAAAACAACTATGCCCCAATTTAAAAAAAAAAAAAAAGGAAGTCCCAAAGATGGTCATGAAGTTGTCAGAAAAGGCTTTCTGCCAAGTTTGGAAATCTTTGTTTCACATAAAGCTTTCAGAAAAGATTTTATACTAGATTTCTATGTATACACAAAAATTTCCTACAATTTGAAGAGGCAGAAAAATTCCCAAGCAAGGGTGTTGAAACACAGCTATTCCTTCAGACATTTATTTAACAAATATATATCATGTATCCCTTTGAAGGCCCACAGATGAGTCAGGCAAGGAGACCCCTTCAAAGATAGGCCATATAGACAAAAATGAGCATAAGACAAGATAGACAAGGCCAAGGACTGGGAGAGAGGTCAGCTGTGGGAGTGATGAGAGTCAGAGAAAGAACGATCATGGGCTTTCATAGATCACCACAACTATTCCCACCAGCATTATTTAAAATGATAGCAAGGGCTTCCCTGGTGGTGCAGTTGTTAAGAATCTGCCTGCCAATGCAGGGGACACGGGTTCGAGCCCTGGTCCGGTAAGATCCCACATGCCACAGAGCAACTAAGCCCGGGCCCCACAACCACTGAGCCTATGCTCTAGAGCCCGTGAGCCACAACTACTGAGCCCGCCCGCCTGGAACCCGTGCTCCACAACAAGAGAAGCCACTGCAATAAGCCCACACACCACAATGAAGAGTAGCCCCCACTTGCTGCAACTAGAGAAAGCCCACGTGCAGCAATGAAGA